AATTCATTTTGCTTTCCAACTTGACACCACTTTATTGCATTCCATTTTTTGTTCACACCTCCAACTTGACACTACTATATGGGAATTTTCTACTCTACCAAAAACATCATACAAAAATTATAATTAAATAGGATTGAGCTATGATTAATCACAAAAACTTGGGATTGATCATAACTAATTAAGATTTACCATTGATTTCAAATTTTTTTTTTTGGGTAATAAAGAAAATCTCTGGTCTGTCTCCAATGAATAGAGATATGTTTTTGTTGCTCAAGCTTGTAAGTTTGAGTAAAATTGAGGATAACTCTGAGTACAAAAACTTGTCCTTCAATCCATACGCTAATTAAATTAAGACTTGCACTTTGCTAGAGATTCGAACCTACACTAGAGACTTAGACATGACTTATCCAAACAATTGAGAACTATAATTTATACTAAATATTTTAATATGACACGTGTTTAAGTATACAAATGAAGTAAACTGATTTGTATTTTCGATCTTGAATTAAAAATCATCGGATTCCATTCTTACGAGGTGATCGATCACATGCCGGTAGGCCCAAAGACTCGCAAACACACCTTAAAATCGGTGGATAAGGTTTAAGTTTCTTCGTTGTTCCATTATGCAAGTAAATTAAATAGAAGTAGAGAAGGAATCTATTGGTGCTCTCGGTCAAAGTAGTTGTTAGAAAGTATAATGACCTATTTTTCAGCGAACAACCATATTCATATCGCGAGGATTTGACGCTAACAACCCCTCTTTTGTCACGAAGACATTAGTTAATGGTTTGTTTGATAAAAGGAATGGAAAAATGTGAATGATAATTTTTTTATTATTAAAAGAAAGAAAATTATTTTTTTTTAAACTTTACTTTTGGTAAGAAGAATGAAAAAGTAGAATAAATAATTTTTTTATTTGGTATGAGTAAAAAAATAAAAAAAATTCATTGCCTTTTAAATACTCTTGCATAAAGTATTATATAACANATGTTATTTTTCATACTTAACGAGGGAGGGTTACACGATTTAAGTATAAAATTGAAGAGTCTACTGTAATTAGGTAATAGCACCATACATTTTGTCTTTTAGTAAGTCAACTAGAACAACTCGTGACGTGTGAAAAAATTTAAAATATTTGCAGATCCATCCCTTCTAGTTGATGTTCCCTCCAACTTGACAATACTTTATTTTACTTGACACTTAAACTAATTCATTTTGCTTTCCAACTTGACACCACTTTATTGCATTCCATTTTTTGTTCACACCTCCAACTTGACACTACTATATGGGAATTTTCTACTCTACCAAAAACATCATACAAAAATTATAATTAAATAGGATTGAGCTATGATTAATCACAAAAACTTGGGATTGATCATAACTAATTAAGATTTACCATTGATTTCAAATTTTTTTTTTTGGGTAATAAAGAAAATCTCTGGTCTGTCTCCAATGAATAGAGATATGTTTTTGTTGCTCAAGCTTGTAAGTTTGAGTAAAATTGAGGATAACTCTGAGTACAAAAACTTGTCCTTCAATCCATACGCTAATTAAATTAAGACTTGCACTTTGCTAGAGATTCGAACCTACACTAGAGACTTAGACATGACTTATCCAAACAATTGAGAACTATAATTTATACTAAATATTTTAATATGACACGTGTTTAAGTATACAAATGAAGTAAACTGATTTGTATTTTCGATCTTGAATTAAAAATCATTGGATTCCATTCTTACGAGGTGATCGATCACATGCCGGTAGGCCCAAAGACTCGCAAACACACCTTAAAATCGGTGGATAAGGTTTAAGTTTCTTCGTTGTTCCATTATGCAAGTAAATTAAATAGAAGTAGAGAAGGAATCTATTGGTGCTCTCGGTCAAAGTAGTTGTTAGAAAGTATAATGACCTATTTTTCAGCGAACAACCATATTCATATCGCGAGGATTTGACGCTAACAACCCCTCTTTTGTCACGAAGACATTAGTTAATGGTTTGTTTGATAAAAGGAATGGAAAAATGTGAATGATAATTTTTTTATTATTAAAAGAAAGAAAATTATTTTTTTTTAAACTTTACTTTTGGTAAGAAGAATGAAAAAGTAGAATAAATAATTTTTTTATTTGGTATGAGTAAAAAAATAAAAAAAATTCATTGCCTTTTAAATACTCTTGCATAAAGTATTATATAACATGAATTGTATTGCAATTAATGTACATCTGTCACAAGGGCAGAGTCACCTTACGCCCAGGGGTGGGGGGACATGCCCACCATCATAATTTTTTTTCGTAAAATTACTTATATATTTTTTTAAGTATTTTTTAAATTATGCCCACCCTATTTTTTTTGTCAAAATTCGAAAATACATGATATATTTGTGAATTTACTTATAATTTTTTTATTTATTTTAGTAATTATGATAGACATGATTGTACAATCAACAAGAGATCGTATTATTTGTTGAACCATTGAGGGTTCACTCGCATTTGATGTAAAGGAGGTTATCCGTCAAAACAATTTTTCTTGTACAATCGTACTTAAAAATGTTGCACTTAATTTCATTCGAATTTCAAATGATTTGGACTCGACTATGACTACGGGGACCGAACTTAGAAATCTCTTCAACCACACAAGGTAATGAAAACATTGGTAAATAGCAGGCATGAGTAACCCATATATTGTGACAGGTCCACAGTATAGATACTTCCCTTTAAGATTGTCAATACATTGATTTTGATTTAAATTCAACTATTGATAGGTATTTAATATTTTTGTCCGATTATTTGAATTTGAATATGTTATATCATATTATACTTTATATCTATATAATAAAGTATAATACAATTTAAATTTTAAAAAATAAAAAAAATAATAATTTTTGTTATTCGCGGTTGAGATCTCTTTATATTTTATTTTAAAATTAATCTGATGGCTAATATTAAAATCTCAAATTTAAAAGAAAAAATAAAATAGGCCCCTAAGAATGTGTTTGAAGTAACTTTTTAAAAATATTTTTCGAAATTATTTCTCATAAGTATTTAAAAAAAAATAGTTTTCAAACAGCTCCACTACTATCTTTATCACGATCACCCCCACGGCTCCACCACCATTACCACTGCTACTGCCGCTACTGTCGTTGTCATTATCGCCACCCTACCACGCCCACCGCTCCACCACCATTACCACCACCACCCACTGCTATCACCACCACTGCCCCACCACCACCTCCTCCTCCTTCACCGCCCCACCACCATCATCCCCACCCCAACTGCCCCCCATCACCCCCACGACCATAACAATTACCACCACCGCCACTGCCCCACTTGCACCCCCCACCCATCGTTGTCCACTGCCATCTCCACCACCATCGTCACCCATTACTGATTGTTACCATCGTCGTCCACTGCCATCACCTATCACTATCATCATCTTATTCTTATATTTATTACTATTACCATCATCATTCCATTACCACCATCGCCCACACCACTACCATTGTTGTCCACTGTCACTCATTACCACAACCTACCACCATCTATCATCGTCTACCATCGCCACCAGCCATTGTCACCCACCCCCACCGCACCTACCACCNCCATCATTCCACTACCACCATCGCCCACACCACTACCATTGTTGTCCACTGTCACTCATTACCACAACCTACCACCACCTGTCATCGTCTACCATCGCCACCAACCATTGTCACCCACCCCCACCGCATCTACCACCACCACCCGTCATCGCTCACCACTGTAACCAGTCATTGTCACCTACCCCCATCACACTTACCACCATCATCATTCGTTATTATCACACTGTCGCCTAGAAGTATCCATCGTCGTCCACCACCACTGCAAACCACCATCACCGTCGTTTATCACCTCCCACACCCACCACCACCACTACCTTCACCCACCGGTGTCACTATTATCATCGTCACTCAAAAATCCACCGCCACCATCATCGTTGTCACCCATGACTGCCATCAATGCCACGGTTATCGCCACCCGCCACAACCATCATTGTCTCCCCACCATCACTATTACCACTCACCACCAATAACACCGCTTACCCCCATTACAATTGGTATTTAAATTTTTTTATCTCTCATTTATGTTTGTGATTTGATTTTAAGTGTGAATATAAATATGTTTATTGTTGACAATTCTTTTGAAGGCACGAAAAATAACTAGTACATCAATATCTGATCAGAAAATACAACACATGTAAATAAAAATATGAGAAAAATGAGTCATTATATAGTGAAATTAAGGATTGCATATGCAGTTTGATAGATTCAACTTCTTTTTNTAGTACATCAATATCTGATCAGAAAATACAACACATGTAAATAAAAATATGAGAAAAATGAGTCATTATATAGTGAAATTAAGGATTGCATATGCAGGTTGATAGATTCAACTTCTTTTTGAGTTCTTTGGATCGGGTTGGATTGAAATTCGGATCAAAATAAGTTGGGAGTCTTGAGACTCTCATTCAAATTCAGAGCCACTGATAGGGCTACTCCCCTCTAGAGGCGAGGACCATCAAGCTTCACAAAATTAACTAAAAGAGAAAAAACACACGACATATTTATAAACTAGATGTCTCAATTGCTCCTCTCTTGTGTTTAGGCCTTAATCTCAATCCGATTAGTTCAGTATGTGGATCAAAACAATGAAATGCAAAAGGGAAAAATCCATGCATGAAAACCACTAATTATATATTTGGGGTTTAAATCTTATATGTTGTATGTTTGAACTAGATTAGTAGAAATTCAAAGTCACTACAAAGATATATACCCCTTTAGGGTTTTTTTAATTATTTTTTTGAATTTAATAAAAACTAATATAATTAGCGTTTGTAATTTGTTATGGACTAATCAGTCAGAATAAAATCAGACAAAAAAAGAATATATCAGCAGAAAAGTTGTGCTAAAAAATTATTATTACAAACCAATTGAAAAAATATGAGTCTCAAACACAACAAATGTTCACGCACACACACACACACACACTCACATACATACATATCACGTAATAAGTTACATACTTCTGGAGGTTGGAAAAGACCAGAGTCAACTTTGGTCAAGTAGCCAAACCAAGGAGAATCGTGACCCAAGCTATTCTCATACAGCGGATTTGGTCAGGTGTTGAGAACCGGAGGTCCTGATTGTGAGGCCAACCTGCATCAATATTTACATTAGTTATGAGGCCAAATTCTCTATGTATTGACAAAATTTTGTTCGTAAAAGCAATCAATTGTTGTCATGGTAACGAATTGTTCTGTAGCTGTTCATCTTTTGAACAAAAAAATCGACCAATAAACTAAAATGGAACTAAAAAGCTTCCTTTACCGCATCTGTAGTTTTGGGCATTGCTTGACAATGGGATGTTGAAGAGATGGCATTTCAGCCTGAATGCTTCTGAGCTTTGGCAGCCCCCACAGATGCAATGTATGTAAACTGGACAGAGTATTGTTGGCTGATGTTTCCGGTTCGAACAGAGTCTCCAATTTATGACAGAACTTGATTTTAAGGGTCTCGAGGGTTGTTGGCAGCTTTGGCAAAAATAGATCATTTGCAAACATGGGACATTCCCTAACTTCCAAACTTTTTAAAGCTGGCAATTCACACTCAATCTTCTTCAATGCTGGTAGTCCACACAGAAGCAATTCGCGTAACTTTGGCAATATACATTCTTTTGACATCTCTTCAAGTTCAAACAGATTCTCCAATTTATCACAAAACTTGATATGAAGAATTTCAAGGCTTTCTGGTCGCTGAGATTTGGAGAAAACACAAGGAAGTTCTGGGCAACAATCTAAATACAAACGTTTAAGGTTTCGGAAGCCCACATACTGCAGGTCCCCACTATATATACTACTCAACTTGATAGCATAAGAAACCCATAGAATCTCCAATGTTGTGTCTATTTCTTCCTTTTCTACATGGAAAATACTCTCCATATTGGTGCATCTCTCTATCCCACAGCCCCTCATCACCTTGATGTTGTTGGCACCCAAGTCACATAATGATTTTATAAAGGAATTATGAATCAGAAAAACATACTCAGAACGACTGAGTACAACCTCAATACCCTTGGGGAAATTACCAAAATCATGGATTTCCAGTGACTTACCTTGCTCTCTAAGATCAGAGAAATATCTTGCCTGGAATTGGAGATCTCTGAAAATCGATTTGTCTTTGTAAAGCTCTATACCTCTTATTTCGGTTTGCTCCTCCATAGGATGAACAGAGAATTGAAATTGTTTGAAGCTTGTCTCCCACAACTGGGGCTCTTTCTCCAGACGTTGAAAAAATTCTGAATTACTAAGAGAGATGAAAGGTCTGTGACTGTTACTGTATGGGACAGGCAAAGTGGAGATGCCCCATTGCTCTTCGGGTAAACTCTGTCCCTTTCCGCTGCCAGCTCCTAAGACGCCCATGTCTGTCTGATGACTCTGCTCAAGCTGAGTCAATTCTGAGATTTCATAAGGGAGATTTTTAATCTCTTCTGAGCTCAAACAATTACTAGGCAGAAATTGGTGAAGGTTGCTAAGTTTGGTAAGGGATGGCATAGGCTTGACCCTAGTTCCCGAAAGATCCAGAATCTCAAGCTTTGTATGTTCTTCCAAGAGTGGCAGTGTTTCCAACTTCTCACAACCCCTCAGAGAAAGATGAACAAGGTTTTTAAGATTTGACAAGGGTGGTAGCTGTTCAAGCTCGGTTTCAGAGAGGTCAAGAACACGAAGGTGACCCATGTGCTCCAAGAAATCAGCTCTAGTCAAGGAGCTGATACCACATAAATTTAGCGCCTCAAGGCATGAAGGAAAGTTCAGTGGTACCTCTAATTTCAAATTGGTACATTTTCTCAATGAGAGGTGGCGGAGGTTGCCAAGCTTTGAAAGGGATGGAAGCTTTTCAATCTTTGTAGCAGAGAGGGTGAGTCTCTGAAGGTGAGACATCTGCTCAAAAGATTTATCTTTGATTACTGTCAAAGCATTACAACCAGACAGATCAAGAACCTCCAGTTTGCTAAGCGAATCCAAGGTTGGCAAGGTCTTCAAGGACAAACAACCCGAAAGCAATAGCTGACGAAGGTTACAAAGAGTGGAAAGGGGTGGCAGATCTTTGACTTTGGTTTCTGAAAGGTTGAGAACTCGAAGTTTCTTCAAATTTTGAAAGAATTTGTCGTTAATCTTTTCAAGATTACTAGCACCTGAAAGATCAAGTGCCTCCAGGGATTTCAGCGAATCTATGAATGGAAGTTCTGTTAGCCGGAGGCAACCTTTTAAATAGAGCTGACGAGGATCACTAAGGTTGGAGGGTAGCCAGGAAATTTCCGTCCTGGATAGATCAAGAATTCTAAGTTTGTCATTAGAGTTGAATGATTGATCACGAAATTCCTCAATGCTAGAACCCGAAAGATCAAGAACTTGGAGATTGGTTAATGACTGAATGCTGCGCAGTCTTTCTACGCCATGACAGTCACTTGCTGAGAGATGAGTGAGAGCTCTAATACCACGAAGAATTGGTATGCTTTTAATGCTGGTATTGGACAGATCAAGGGTTTCAAGTTTTTCCAATGCTTTCACATTTTTCTCTGGAAACTTTTCCAAAGAAGTAGCACCAGAAAGATTAAGCACCAGAAGTTTTTCAAATTTTTTCAGACTCTGCATTTCTTTCAAACAAGAACAGCCCTTAAGGATGAGCCAACGAAGTTCTGTAAGCCCATAAAAAGATGCAGGCAACTCTTCAATCTGAGGGGCAGATAGGTTGAGACTTCGAAGTTTGGTCATGTGGTGAAAGACATCTGGGATTTTTTTCAATGACTTAGCTCCTGAAATTTCCAGAACAGATAAATCTGTTAGTTTCTCTAAATCTTCAATGTGTGCCAACAAATCACATCCCCTGAGGACAAGCACTTTGAGCATATTCATGGAAGACAACGATTGCACTGAGCTGAGCCCGGGATTGAAAAGGACTAGAACTTGGAGGAGGTTCATGGATTGAAGGAAATTAGTTGAAACTTCCCTGCTGAAATGATTTCCATCGAGCAGTAATGTTGAGAGTTCCTTCTTGTTGCTCCTGGGAACTGATTTCATCATACCATTTGCCTGTGTGATTTCCCCAATACCATCCCATTCTCCAACCTTAAAAACTTTAGCCAATCCCAGAGTGGCTGTACTACCAAATCCACCACGATAATGGTCATCCAGACTCAGTTCTGCTCTTTCCATTCTCAGGTGATTACCCTTCACATTTTCTTCAACTTTTTTCAGTATCTGACAATGTATCAGCTCCATGAGAACACGATGTCCCTCCTCGTAGGCCTTGTCAATACTATCAATATCACCAAGATATCCTTCAATAATCCAGTAAGCTATCAGCTCAATGAAATGGACGCTTCCACGGTCACGAAAAAAATGGCTGCCCTCACATGAACAGTCAATTAAAACACCATCTGGGACCTTGTCATACCCACTGCGTAGTAACTGCTTAAAACTGTAGTTCTTTGATTCCTCCAAAGCATCTTCCAGAACCTGGACAGCTGCAGAACCATGTCCTCTGTAACTTAAGGCTTTTGCAAGCATGACAATTGCAACAGGGGTTAAATCCACATTCTGGTCGATGAATTTTTCTGCTAGAGCTTTCACTTCTGGAATCTCATAGACCTCTGTCCCAGCTCTTTGTCTCAATAAAGATAATTTGTCTTCACGAGACAAGGGCGGGACCTCAATCACAATCACTTCCTCTTTAGCCGCTGCTATATCATGCCATCCACCTTCGTTAGTTGTAGTGATTAACTTCTTGACTCTGGGTGATTTGGGAAAACACAGCAGTTTCATTAGATCACTTTCATTCATTTTGATGCCCTCACTATCCAAAACCAGAAGCAAGCTCCTATCTGCAAGTGTTGCATATATCTTCTCCCTCAAGATGTTCGGGTCTTTCTCCACCACCCCCTCTAGTACCTCTTCTTTATCACCATTTCCACCCTCCTTGGTAGTGGAATACATAGACATTTGTCGAGCAAAACTCTCGTGAATGGTTTTATCATCATACATTTTGTCCAGATAAGCCCAAAGGACTGTGTCAACCAGGCCCTTGCTGATTGCTTGACCACTTATTTTTTTTGCCATCCATGTTTTTCCAATCTCGTGCTTTCCAACAAGAACGATGGTTGATACTTTTTCTTCTTTTTCTAACAGTTCAAGTGCCTTTTGTCCCGGGTGTTCCACTTTGCTCTCGGCGGCCATTGCTAATGCAAGAACTCTGACTGAAATAATTAAATAAGATACAACACTTAACTGTAGCATTCCAACAAAATGTATATAAAAGAAATTAAGAAAACGAAGTTCACAAATTGATTTAAAAACATAACTTAATGAATCATTACTATTAAAGAGATAATGAATTTTAATAAATATTAAAACACACAGTTAAGTCAATGACAAATATAACAACCACATGATTAAGTTNTAACTTAATGAATCATTACTATTAAAGAGATAATGAATTTTAATAAATATTAAAACACACAGTTAAGTCAATGACAAATATAACAACCACATGATTAAGTTAAGTGTTTAAGTCTCTATAGCGTGATTGATCAACTCAGTAAATCAGGTCAGTATTTTAAGTACGAATAATATTTTTTTTTGGTTCAACAATTAAGGGTATCCGATCTAACTTACTTGTATTTCTATTAATCTCCTCCCTTACCTGGTCTGGTCAAAAGTGATCATACACTCCGGAACAAAGATATTCATAAGGATAAATTTATTATAATTTCACTTCAAAAAATTATCAAAATTCAAATTCAGAACGTCTAGTTCTCCGACTTGACGCTCTTATAAATTGAATTACGGTACAAAATAACATTTCTCCTTCTATAAAAGCATTATTCTTTCTCTCTCTAAAGATCAGCATTAATGGCAAAAACCGGTTTCACAAAACATCAGCATTAATGGCAAAAACAGCAACGGCGGGTCAAGTAGTTTGAGGCTTAAAGTGGTATTTCTAAATAAGATTTTTTATTTTATTTTTAGTATTAAAATTTTTTAATTAAAATTAATTTTTCTTACCTTTTGAATTGCAAAAGTATTAATCAAGTTTTTGTATTAAAATTTTGTTATTATATCTTTTTCAATTAATAGGTTAATCTAATTATCTTTTTTATGACATCGTCGACCTTAAGTAAGATTTTATTAATTTTAGTTTTAAAAAACTTCTTTTCACAAAAGTAAATATTACAAAAATTATTAATAATATTTTGTAAGTAATGCATGTATTTGGAAAAAAATTTAAGACAAAAGGCTAAAAGATTTACTACTTTAATTCTGATTTGTATCATCTACATGTGGGGACATAGGGCTAAAAAAACGAAATAGAGGGATGAGTTTCTCTCGCTTTATAGTTTTCTTTCGTTTGTAAATTTTTTTTTAATACATTTATTTCTTTCAAGACAATATTGTTTTAAATTATCATCATTTAATAACTTAAATTTTTTTAGGTTAAATAAAAAATCAAAAATATTTTCCTACATTTAAAGCTGTTCAAATTTACTCTTTAGTGAAAGAAATAGTTTTATCTAGTATATATATGGAATAATCAATCCTAATTTTTTTTCCAACAAATTGTGTTACCATATTATCAACATTTTCATGAAATTGTTTCTTTTTACGAAGTGTACGTTTTTCACAAAATATTGATTCTATGTCCATTTCACATGCAATCTATTTAGTTGAAATTTTAGTATTTGTAAATTCACTTTCTCTATATTGTTCAAAAAAGAAAAATAAGACATTTTAATTTATCTATAGCAACATTAATATGCATGTTTTTTTTAATTGTAAATGTTTACTAAGTTGCCGAAAAATAAAATATCATACTAAATAGTCATCTATAATAAGAATTCAAAATTCTCTATTTTATATGTTGCTAACACAATTATCTTTACTATTTTTACTAGTTTATGCTAATTGTAACAATACATCTTTTATTTTTGGAGCTTGAAATATTATTGTTTTAACACTTTCAATGCGACTTTACCAATGCGTTTGTAATAATGACTTAAAGAGTTAAACTTTTAACATTATCTTGTAAAATTTTTCTTCATTTTGTAGGAGAGAAAAATAATGAATATATATATTGTACTACTCCAAAAAATGATAGCATTGGAACAAGTGTTAGTCAATCGCAAAATAGTAGGTTTAGATTATGGCAACCATATGATGTGTAAAATGCTTTATGATTTATATCGATAAATCATATTAGAAAAACTTTTATTTTTTTCTTTTATATTAAATCAATTATCATATCCTTGTCTCCTTACATTATCAATATTCAGTTCAAGATTACTTATTACGGTTATAAGTTTGTCAAAAAGACATTTTCCAGTCATATCGTCTATTTTAATAAACTCTAAAAAATATTTTTCTATTTTTATTAAACTTGTTATAATTTTTACGCATCATAATATTAAAGTCATTTGTTCTTGATGACTTTCATCCTAAGTATTTGATTGTATGATTGAATAATATTTTATTTCTTTAATTTTTTTAATAGTATTACTTCTTACTTCATTTCCTAATAAAATTATCAATTCGTTTTGTATATTATGTCCAAGATAATTATTATGAATTATATCATGTTGAATACGATGAGCGTGTTGAACAAATTATGCAATCATTTCAATTAGACTTAAAAATTTGTTATTATTTTCTTGATATATCTTTTCATTTTTTTTCATGAAAGACTAAATTATTTTTATCAAGATTTTTTACAGGTGCCATAATTCTTCATAAATATATTTTGTCAATATTCTTTCGCTCAATATTTTTCTATTGACTTAGATCATAAATATTTGTAAGACTATAATTACTTGTTTCGTTTAGATTTTGATTGTCTTCTTTTCATTATTTTTTATTTTATTATCTTATATTTCGTTATTTTGTTGTTGTGTTAATTCATTATCTTCTAACTCATTGGGGTTCACTACTTGTTTATTTGTAATACTTTCACCTAAATTTTTTGTTATCATTTTTTTGTTACTAATTATCAAGGGACCTTTTTTGGAATTTCTCTAGTTGGTCACTTTTTCTTTTCTTTTTTTAATTTTTCGTATGAGGATGATTGTATTTTTATTCTAGGTGCCATATTATAAATATTACTATATTTTCAATCAAATAATTACAAATAATCAAACAAACAAATAATCTATTAAAACATATAATACAACCCTAAATAAAAAAAAAATTAAAGTTTTAAAGCATGTGATGTAGTTCATAAAATAACCTTAGAACTTTGAGATTTGACTTTGTTTATTCACTTTGTTGCTATCCATGACAGACCACATAGAGAGTCAAAGACCCATATGTATTTGTTGCCCAAGTGTTGGCCACAGAGAGAGAGAGAGAGAGAGAGAGTTAAACAGAGAATAGAGAATAAGATGTTGGTCCTGTCGCTGGCATTAGAGAGAGAGAGAGTGTGGATGTAATGTTAAGGTTACATATTTTTTTTGTTTTAACATACTGATGGAGAGAGAATGGGGGAGGAAGGGAGCTGATGACAGATTATGGTTTTTGGAGAGAGAGAGAGAGAGAGAGTATCAATGGTTAAAACTAAAAAAAAAAAAAAAATAGTGTATTGGGTTTAAATCTTTTAATTGGCCTTATATTTGTATAAGGCTTTCTTGTGGGGCCTATATATTTTAGGAATTTAAAAATTTTCATATGGACTAATGGTATTTTAAAAAAGAAAATTTGGAAGTGGGTCCCTTTATATGAATTTGTTTGAACTTAAGTTTATTAAGGAAATTTATTTGTTATGAGTCCTTTTTTTGTCAATTTTATCACATTATCTCTTCCCTTTAGAAGTGAAATAAAATTTAAAATTAAAATTCCTAATTCTTAGGAGTTTGACTAATATTAAAATCTTTTCTCTCTCATATCTATCTATATCCATATATAGGCTAAGAGTTTGACTAATATTAAAAAAAAAAAAATTCTCACTCTCTTATCTATATTCATATATAGGTTGAGTATATATATATACACCTAACCTATATAAAAAATAGTAACATTCAAATACAAAAAAAATAGTAACATTTAAACATAAAAAAAATTAAAATATTTAATATTAATATTTTTAAAAAATAACAACAGTAACATGTTTAACAAAAATAATAACATACTTAATAAAAATTATAACATATTTAACGATAATTATTTTTTTCAAATTCAAAGGCAAAATGTGGGCGTAAAACCCCGGCTTNCTACTTTAATTCTGATTTGTATCATCTACATGTGGGGACATAGGGCTAAAAAAACAAAATAGAGGGATGAGTTTCTCTCGCTTTATAGTTTTCTTTCGTTTGTAAAATTTCTTTTAATACATTTATTTCTTTCAAGACAATATTGTTTTAAATTATCATCATTTAATAACTTAAATTTTTTTAGGTTAAATAAAAAATCAAAAATATTTTCCTACATTTAAAGCTGTTCAAATTTACTCTTTAGTGAAAGAAATAGTTTTATCTAGTATATATATGGAATAATCAATCCTAATTTTTTTTCCAACAAATTGTGTTACCATATTATCAACATTTTCATGAAANGAAATAGAGGGATGAGTTTCTCTCGCTTTATAGTTTTCTTTCGTTTGTAAATTTTTTTTTAATACATTTATTTCTTTCAAGACAATATTGTTTTAAATTATCATCATTTAATAACTTAAATTTTTTTAGGTTAAATAAAAAATCAAAAATATTTTCCTACATTTAAAGCTGTTCAAATTTACTCTTTAGTGAAAGAAATAGTTTTATCTAGTATATATATGGAATAATCAATCCTAATTTTTTTTCCAACAAATTGTGTTACCATATTATCAACATTTTCATGAAATTGTTTCTTTTTACGAAGTGTACGTTTTTCACAAAATATTGATTCTATGTCCATTTCACATGCAATCTATTTAGTTGAAATTTTAGTATTTGTAAATTCACTTTCTCTATATTGTTCAAAAAAGAAAAATAAGACATTTTAATTTATCTATAGCAACATTAATATGCATGTTTTTTTTAATTGTAAATGTTTACTAAGTTGCCGAAAAATAAAATATCATACTAAATAGTCATCTATAATAAGAATTCAAAATTCTCTATTTTATATGTTGCTAACACAATTATCTTTACTATTTTTACTAGTTTATGCTAATTGTAACAATACATCTTTTATTTTTGGAGCTTGAAATATTA